TTAAGGTCAAACCAGCCACACAAACGAGGTTGCTGGAATGACGAATTCAAGAAATTATACACAAGTAGAAAGCAACTGGCTTTAAGAAACTGCTTTGGACCGGACAGCTAGGTTCAAGAGATTGCACACGAACAAAACTAACAACTTGTAAAAATAGATTTAGACTGCTTGCAGTTTTGCTGCTGATAATACGGTTAAAAATCTATGGTTGCGTTTCAACCTAGGACAAGCGGAAATAACTAGGTTTTAAGAGATTCTGCAAGAGCGGAAATAACTGGGAAGGGGCGACAAGTGGCTCCTTGTTTCGTTGCAGCCAGGTCTGGTTGTTGTGATTAGAAGATGAGAAGTGTGTGAACGTCTCAGTTAAGAGTAATTACACGGATAGAAGGGAGGGCTAAGCACTACGCATAACAATGAAGATTTGGAACAGCGTTTGCGGGTCTTGGACAGCCTGCACTTTCTCGATAAAGTCTTGCGCGACAAAGCCAACGTTGCGCTTGATTTGGCAGTCCTTGAGAAGGGCCCAAACCTGTTCGGGCATTTCAGGAATTATATGCTCCGCAAGTGAGTCTTGTGTCGCGAATGTTAGAGGAAGCCTAGTTGCTAGTGCTATTGTGCTGCAGAATGGAAAGGAGTGATCTGTGTAGAAACTAGACTTTTGAGCGTCATAACTTACGGCCGGCGAGTTTACGGCCAGCAACAACAGCTTCGTCACGCGGGCCTGGGCCGCCCGATACCAGAGAGGTATCTTGGAGTTGACAGGATGCCGGTGGTCGAAGAGACTTGCCTCGCGGACCAGAAAACTGAGCCTCCGCATCGGTCTGCGGCAAGCACCAGTCGAACTTTTCCCACGATTCGATAAAATGCATGATCGCCTGTCGCAAGTCCTGGTAGGTGGCATCCTCCAGCGCAATGGTATAAACCTGCCCAGGTTCGGAATCCGGCGGCACAATCTGCCGAAAATTCTGGTAGGCGTTCGCTAGCTTGAAAACGTTGCCAATGGCCAGCGACGACCAGTTGGTATGCCCAGTGCACATGTTAGTGTCTGCAAGGCAACGAAGAACAAACGGGGCCTGTAGCAAATATAAGGAGAGGTTAGTATTAAAGAGAACGTTGAGTAATACTCAACTAATCCGATGCAGAACACGTAATAAAAGTATACCACGAAAATGTGCTTGCGGTCCTTTGGCACCCCAGAAAACCAGTCGTCGTCGACCGTCCTCACTGGATTCGGTTCGGGCATCCAGCCGAGCTCAGCATACCCAAGCCAGTAGTCGCGCGTGTGCCTGGAATTAGTTTGAAAAATGATTTGAAACTAGAGGCGCTGTGTGTTCTTGAAGACGCCCATTGGGTAATCGAAATACGACTAAATACCCCGCAAATGTCCCGGAAACCGGAGCCGGTGTGCCGCCCGGCTCTGCGGAAGCATTGGAGCTCAGTTGGTCCAGGGTTAGGAATTCGATAGAGTTGCTTGCGCGTGTTTCTGCGTAACCGATGTGTTCGACACTTTCGGCAAAATGGTTGCATAGCAGCATGATCATCCGAGGCGTAAACACCTTGGCTTTGTTGCCGGGCCAGGTGTCCACCCACCAATAGGCTTTTGGCAAAATCTTGTCGCTGAGGAGTACTTCTGTTGTCGGGCGACCGGCAACGAGTGGAGCTGGATCCGTCATTGTGTCTAAGCAATAATGGGCGAAACCAGTAATCGCGTTCAGTAGAGGTACTAGATCTACACGTAGCAAATGAAGGTAACATGTAAGAGTCTATACCCATTCCCTGTGTCGGTAATAAAGAAAGGCATGTAGGTAACCATTTACCAGATATGTGTTTCGGTATTTAGAGATCATGAATTTGCACAGGATGAGAACACTAAGAAAAAGGAACTGAGAAGTGGTCAACAATTGGACAGTGACGGGAGAACTGCTGTGGTTTTGGATGAGGTGACTCGCAAAAACGCCCTTTTCTATGGTGACTGAATCAATTTTCCCACCCAAGGATCAGTCAAAATCCATGGAACTGTCATCTCTGCTGGATTTGCGGTTCGGTGCTGAAAGGCGCGTTGACTCCGTGGCGGCAAATCCGTGCGAAATCTTAAGATGGCGGTTGCGAGAGCCCACCAACCGAGATGAAACTGTTGACGCGCGGCGTTGTGAGTCCAATTCGCGTACTCTTTGTCTTCTAACGGCTCCTTGAGGATCTTCCCATCTAGAATATCGCGACACACTTTCAAAACGTAGGAATTTTGATCGTCTGTCTCAGCCGCCAAGCCACGGGGTTTTGAAATCCGCGGGTGCGGTTCATTTGCAGTAAACTCAGGCTCAGGCGTATGTATCGGGAGCGGTGGAATACCACGATGGCCAATGATGTAATCAACACTCGCAAGTGGGGTGGTAATGGAGGGTCCGAACTCAGGTAGGGCAATGCCATGGTCTGTACAATCTGGTCGCAGATTGGTCCACACGCTGTGAGAGCCGCTTGCGGGAGGCGTAAAGCTGAGACCTACAATACTGTCCGCCGTGGCTTTGATTCCTTGCATTGCTCGAACGGTATTAGACGAGAATCAGTATTGGTATTGTATGCTGCCACAGTTGTAGGCATGTATCTATACCCAAGCTCTATATTGCCATAATCCATTTCTGTTCGAGCGATAGCGCCGCATTTTGGAAGCATGGACGCATTGCCAACCGCGCAAGTGTTGGAGCAAGTATCGTAACCGAAGGCCAGGAAGTCGCTGGCGTAATCTCTCCAGTAGGCAGCAGCCCACAAGTTTGGTGCGCAAGGAATACCGCAGCTGTGTACCTGTTAATGTAGAAGTAGATAGTGTACTGCAATACCTCTATCACACCTGTTAGTAGTACTGAACAAGAGACATAGGACCTACCAAACGTTTTTCACATACGGGTAGATTACTCGTCCCATGCTGCCGTGTCCGCGTCCCAGATCATCGTAGCTCTCTGATCCTGATCAGCGTTAGACGTAGCACCTCCAGTTGCAACCGATGCACTGAGTGTCGACGTGATTACAACCAATTGATTCACGGACCAGTCGCTCATTTTGTAGTGAGATATCCATGCCCCGACGCTATGTAGGTAATCTGGTATGATGTCCGACCCAAGAGATATTGTTGCGGCAACAGCCGTGGGATCAAAGGCGTCCTTGCGACGGCGCTTAGCAGATTGGACAACCGACATTTTGAACTACCCTAGACACTGGCATGCAGTTCAGACGACAAAGCACGAATCATCGAAAATCACGTAACATAAACCTGGATGATTAAGTGGATGGTGTGGGTAATTAGATGTTGACATCACGAACCATGTAGCCAGAGAGCCTGACTTAGACATAGAAACACATTATCGCGCATGAGTTCGTAGAGTTCGGTAATTCCGGAAGGTCACACCCACAGAACACAAGGAATAGCTATGTAGATGCATGCTTTTGTATTACTAATAGTTAGACAGGGGAATGGTCATCGCCGAATATTTCCGCATCGGACACGTCCAGTGGTTCAGACGACACTCGTGACTCAGTTTCACGGTCGTAGATCCGATTTTCTCGATCGCCTTGCAACCTGGCCAAGAAGCCCGAACTGTATTTGTGTTGCGTTCGTTCAAGTCGATTTGAGATCATGGTGAGGGATTCCGGATCATTTTCGAGACTCTTGAGGCCTAAATCTCTGAATCCATATTCTAAGAATGTAGTGACATATGGTGGACACGAAGGACCTCTCGTCGGACTCCAGTCCGGCGGACCAAGTGCTCGTCGGTGACTGCCACTGCCAGAGGGTAAGTCAATCCAATAGGTCTTGTGCGGTGGGTTGTCTTTATGGTAAAACTTCGGATACGCGTTCACGTGGACTTCAGCGAACTTTCCTGAGAGCTCAAAGCATCCCCATTTTCCAAATTCAGCGACAGCGGCGGCCTGATGAGTGATAGTGGATTATGAGTAACGCAATCAGGTCTTAGTGAGGAGGCTATAGAATGTAATATTGAGAAAGAGACTACGCGGAACAGGAACCAAGGAAGCCACACAGAAACAGGAACAAGCCGAGGAAATACCACATTGACGCCCGCTTGCCATGGGTTGCTCTTGGATCCTAACATAGGTCCGAGCGGCTGTAATGGCGGTAAAACTCCGCGCGGCGACCATAAGTGCCGAATCTTCTCGTTGCTGCAAGGAGATAAGTGGCGAGATAAGTTGGCAATTCTCAACTTCAGTCTTATAGAGTTCACGCGATTACCTTTTGTACAAACCAGACTGTAGTATGTAGAAATGGTCTTAGTTATCTAGCCGCAAATTTCAGGGGGCCAAATATATAGCAAATACATGGCAGCCTTTTTCCGGGTGATGCGAAGATTTGCTTGCTCGCGTGAGCACTTCTTGATGTCCTGAACAATATTAACTAGCTCGATCCGAGCAATAAGGTCCTCAGTTGTGGCGTTGGCCTGAAGTGTCCACGCTTCTATTGGCATTAAACCGCATTTCTCTAGCGTCTCCCGAAGTGTCCAATTTATTGACCGCGGCGGTCGCGAGCCCCGTGATGCGGTTATTCCTGATTCCTGGATGAGGCGACAAAGCTTTTTCGTGGCCTCTACTCGCATAAACCGGTGATGAGCAGCCAGGATCCGGAGCGTTGCGTCGTATTCTGCTAAAGCCTCGGCGATATCTCAATATTAGAATTGCTTTAAGGGCACGTGACTAAGTCGCTACAGACGTTGAATAATGATCTTGATTTCTATGTTACCGAATACCCACCAACTTAGCACAATTTTGCGGCCTTAATCATACGAGACGCGGACAGTTGGGCCCGCGGCTAACTTGCCGTTGAGCCACGCACGGCGTAACCGAGAAACATCAGGCAGCCCCCGAGTCCAAGCCTTGACATACGGCCCATCAGGTAAATAGCCCACGCCCATATGCGGGTTGTAGTACCGGACCGGAGCCGAGTCGCGATTCCACGCAGGCGCGTAGCATCCATAGAATACCGGAACTTCGGACAGGGTAACAGTGACGCGGTTTCGTAAGTGGTCAACATGTCGTAGCGTGTGACCATATAGAACGCCGAGGTTTGTACCTGCCGGAAACTGCAACGTCGACGGAGATCCTCGCGGAATGGGGGGAATCCAGCCATAAGGCGCGTAAACATGGCGGATATCTTGATGCCTGAAAATGAGTTCAAATTTGAGGAAAGTATTACCGTATACGGCGGAGTGTTTCTTATTCAGTGAATGTGTATTAGATACAAAGACTGGATGTCCAGTAGCCGAGATTTCCTGGTAGATGAATTTGCGCACAAACATAAATGAGCCTGCGTCAAATCCACGCACGCTGCCCAGGACGCATCAACTGATGCACACGAAAAAGCCTCATGCCCATTCGAGCAAAGTGAACCGGTAAAGGGAGACGGATGCGCTAATATAGGATGTGCGTGAGTCATAACATATGTTCTCTGTATGTTGCTATACCTCTACTGGATGTGCCATTATTGTGCCTAACCATGGTCTAGCCGCGGCTGACCCGGTCTAACGATTTGCCCACAGACATGTATGTTTTGGCCTGCGTCAAATTTCGTTATGTACGCCCGCTGCACAATAGTCAAATAGTACCGAGGCGCGAATACTATGTTTGTGACGAATGTGAACTATCACATGTTTATGTATTAAACATCTTCAATGTTCTCGCCGTAGACCGCTGGGGTGTGTGTGCTGTAGTCAAGTTCTGTTTTGACTGCCGGACGTTTGCGCGCAGGCATGCTCAAGCCTGCGTCAAACGCCGCGGCACCACGGGAATCTTACACCACAGGATGTAGGCGTTATAAACAAAAGGAATGGCGAGCTTACTCGGCGGTCCAATGTATATGGCTAAACATTTTAAAGCTAATAGTAAACGCGTAAACGCATATAGGTAATACATCCGCTTATCAATAGCCTTTTTCTCTTCGGTATTGAGGCCGCCTGGAAGCAGCTTAGACACCTTGGCCCGGACCTCGTTGTACCCAGCCGGGGCATCGAACACGCAGGTGATCAGGTTGAGGCTCCATTCGGCAAGATACGCCCGCAGCGTGAGCGCCCGGTACGTGGGAGCAGGAGAAGATGAAGCCGCCATCATATTACAGGTATGAGGATAAAAATTCGGATCCCTGGATAGTGTATTAGATGTGAAAATAGTAGACTTGCTGTACTTTTTAGTTACATCGACGATACAACTAATAGTATGGGAGGTTCCTGGATGTGGTAATATATATACAGCTTCAGAACCTATTGCCATACAGGATATGTTGTGAGAACAAGACCTTCGTCCGATAGACCGCTAGGCTTGGATCTTGGTGTCAAGGATCTGGTATTGTGTCTCGTGGAACATGGTAATTGGTGATAGGGGAATTGGACTAGAGTAGTGATTTGGAGCCCGTGACTCTCGTGCTGCACTAGATTTGGTAGCTGGAGCATTAGCGTGAGTCTCGTGCTACGGGACAGCTAGTCAGATCCAATCAGACTATACAGTTGGCAAGATATTCTGACTCATGATACGGCAATTTTGAGAGTATGGATATTAGAACCCGACTACCCACGGCAAGCCAGACAAAAATTTATAGCAAAGGCGAATTAGGTTTGCCAACCAATAGAATTGGAATGTCAAAACTCTTTGCATTAGCAACTAGTTCACCGGACTGCGGAACGGCCATCACAACTTGGGCTCTTGCCCCGATAATCTTTTGGATCAGTATTCTGGTGACCTTGGTATAGCGAACGGGAGATCCATAATCTGAGTTCCCCGAGTCACTATTGGTGTAAAGATTAAGATCTCAGGAAAATGGAGATCGGCGAGGGGCCCACTAACAAGATCTGGTAGCCTGATTTGCTGAGAGTCTAGGTCTGAACGTGACCGCAGCTAATTCGGCTAGGGCGATGATATACTTAAACAGCTACCTGCAGGCCACGTCACTGAAAGCTGCGACAATAGATGATGATCCACGTTCCTCACCATGTGACAGAGAACACGCATGACAGAGGGTAAACCATCCACCAAGTTTGATGGTCCGTGCAAGTTCTAAGTGATCCTATAAGCCTCACTCTCTGGTCGCGCAGAGCATACAAGTTGCGGCTTTGACTCTCGCTGGTGCACATATCTCGGCGCTACTATGATACCTCGAGATTAGAACGGATACCTAGAAGCCAGGTGCTTGAACGCTCGGCGTCATTGGATTAATTCACGCATCATACTCACCATGTAGCAGAGAGCTTGATCACAGACATCGCGCAACCTAACGGACCTGGAGTAGGCCGTCGCGTCCGTCACTCTCTGGTAGTCTAAGTCACTCACCATGAAACAGAGAACACGCATTACAGATACTTGCGAGCACAGCCGACCGCACAGAAGCTCATTTGCTGGATGCGAGTTCTTCTTAGCCGTGCGACCCTTACTCTTTCTCCACGCTGATCACACATGTCGTGACTCTCACACTCGCTGGTGCCAGAGCGTTGCTCTCGTTGTTGCGATGCATGGCAATCTCCGGGAACAGACGACTCAGCACTACTCACGTTCTATGCTAGCCTTGCATGTGGCTACATCTCTTCCTCTTAAGTCCGCTTCGGAACAAGTCGCGGCTCTCATTCCCGCTGGTAACAGATCGCCGCTCACGCCGTTGCAGAAATACCCTTTCCAGGAACACATCACTGTGCATCATGCGTGTTCTATGCGGTGACCGTCGGCAACTCTGTTATTGACAAGCAGTACCGGAACACATAGGCTCGGCAATTAAACTTAGTCCGTCACGGGATAGTCTTTGTGATGTGATTGGCGGCGACTTGTTCCCTGAACGAAGTTATGTTGACATTTCCGGAGNTTTAGACAACACTTAATTCACACAATGGCTCGAGTTCTCATGAGTCGTTAGTCAACCAGATTTAAGAAAACAAACGTGGCTGGTTTAGAAATATGATTTTAACCATCAACCGTTCAAGATTTGAACAACCGATTCAGTTCAGAGGCCTAGATTTTGTTTTGGCGCCGCATCGTGAACTCACAACTTAGTCAACAGTCAAATAGAATTTGTGAATTTTGCGACCTCGTCGGACTTATTTTAAACGTGCTAGGTGAGCCAACACTGAGCGCGGGAGCGGTTTCACCAACGGAGTGTTCGTTTCAGTAGCGCACAAACGAAACCAACGGTCAGAAATGCTTCTGTTCGTGAGTGTGATCGTATCGAAGCCAATTAACGCCTTGTATGCGTTTCGAACACGCAGAACTCGACCGGTTGGAGTGTTGTTGAGAGGCAAGGTGTGTACCGGAACGTCCAACAAAAACTGGATCGTTCTCGCCATTTCTTTGAGGTACCTCACTGGCAACAACGGAAAGTCTTGCAAGAACATGTCGATGCTGCTTTCTAGGCCTGCTTCTTCGGGTGAAACCATGTTCGGAGTTGGGAAGCACACGATTAGAGCTGCGATTCGAGCACGATATGATCCAAAAACGTCTTTCTCAACCAGCGTTCGTCTGTACTGGGGTCGGAGGGTAAGCGAATCTTTGTCGTGACCAACGGTGCGTTGAGGGTTCAGTGGCAACCTCGGTTCGACAGCAGCTATTTCAGCGCCAGCTTGCAAGTCAACCTCGTTCGTCATTAAGCGCGTTTCAACAACTTCAGGAGAAGATTCTTGGTCTTCCTTTTGAGCTGCTTTTAGTCGGTTAAGTTGGGAGCTAACGCCTCGCGACAGGTTTTTCAGCCGAGTTAACAGACCCTCAAAACGCTCGGAACTAGATTGAGGCAAACCGGACCAAATCGGAAGTTTGTTTTTAACATCACTCATGATGCTGACAAGCTGCATTCCGGCGCAGTCAAGACTGTTGTCTAGGGTGTGAGTTAGAGTGTACAGTCGACGCCAGTCGTGGTCAAACGGGTTTAGACCGCGCAGTCGCATCGCACTCGGAATACTTTCGTCACTGAAGGCGGCTTTGTGCTTCGCCGTGGCTCGCAGCTGGCCGTGCGCTTGACCCAGCCACAAAGGGATTTCTTCAAGAGCGTACCGAAGCTTCTCAATGATTTCGTCAGCTTGTGGCGGGTACGGGTCATTACCAAGCAACATGTGAGGGTTTGAGTACATGACCGTGTGGAGCACGTCCGCTGTTGCTGGTTCGAGCCTCGAGGCCGGTCCGGCAACACGAACATTGGAAGGTGTTGAGGCAGGAGCTGAGTCAGCAGGTCTCCCGACGAGCGGTAGTTGCGAAGCGGAAGATGAGTTCACTGGGCGGACAATGGTTGGAAGTCGAGGGCTGGAAGACGAGCTTGAACGGCGACGTCTTCTTAGTCGCGGAAAAGGAGGCTGTAGATGGCGTTTTGCTCTCGGAGGTTGTGGTCGCGGAATAGAAGCTGGTCTCATCCGTAACCAGTCAGCTTCAGCTGCAGCTCGGCGAGCCATCTCCTGTCTGGCTTTCTCAGCTGATGAGTTATGGTCCACCATGTTCGCTAATCCAATTTTAGTCTCCCAACTTAGTCCCAGCAACAGCGAGGTCACAATCACAGACAACAAAATGAAATCACAACACCAGTCAACAGTTGGTTGTTTCGTTCATGAAGTGCTTCGCCAAACTAAATCTTGACAAGAGTTGAAGCTAGTCGTTTAAAGAAAACTACAAAGGAAAATAAATTTAAACAAGAAAACGTGAGTTAGTAAAATGAAAGTAATTTTCAAAATTACACCGTAGTTTCTGCCTGGAAGTTGGAAGAAAATGCGGCGTTAACGAGAGTGAAGAAGTCGACGTCATTAAACGAAAGGTGGTTTAATTAACCGGTTCAAGGTCGTTCTACACGTTAATTACTGTCGAGAGGTGAATAGAAGTACACTTTCAGGATCAACACAAGGTAGGAATGAATTTGGTAATTGAGTTTCGCACAACATTTCAAAAAAATATCTTTCTTATGAACGGATGTTTTAACTTGTCAATTGAAGTTTTCAAGTTGTCTTCAAGGGTTGCAGCACTGGATAACCAACCAACAGCAAAGTTTGAAGGTCTTACTCGTTCAGGCTTAATTTAAACAACACAAAACACATCATCCAAGAAATTCGTTTGTTTTGCATTTTGCACTTCTCAACACAAATGCAGGTTGACACCAGTTCTGCAGGTAAAACACTTTAACAAACTAGAAAGAAGGCTTCACCCCAGCCTAACTACAAACTCAGATTAGCAAGTCTTACTTAGCCAGCCAGAGCTTGTTAAATTAAAGGTTCTTCTCAACCCTCATCTTCGTCAACCACCTCCATTACGTCTCCGTCTTCAGCGTCAGAGCCGTGGTCAACAGGACCGCTCGTTGAAAATTTCTCTAGCGCCTCTTTACTCGGGCTGTCGTCTCGTTTGTGACCCTCCTCAGGCAAACTAGCAATGTACTCCTTCATTCTGGAGACAACACTCCACTCGGGAGGGAGCTCTCCATCTCCGCCGTCACTATTAGGAGCAATGTTGTTGAGAATCTCGTCGCCGCCTTGCATTTCCAAAAGCAGCTCTCGCACAGAGCCGACCCCGCTCGCAACGTCAGCGTCGTGGGCCGCCCAAAGCTCGTCAGAAAACAAATCGATGTCAGCAGGAGAAAGGCACAAGCGGCAAAAGTGAGGGCCGAAAGCCATAACAAATTCGGCAGGCACCGTTACGAGCCCGAGTTGCATTCTTAGTGGTCGCAGAACACGG